CAAACAAAATATGTAGAAAAGGAAATAGATTATAGATTAGATTAATTAGCCTAGGCAAAAGAATGTCTTTATTGATGAAGAATATCTCCTAAAACTTAAAGCTATCAAAGCTACCTGGCAATAGCATCCCTTGAAAAAATTGTATCATTAAAAATCCCAAAAGCTAGAAAGCCTAAATTAAAAGAAGACAAATAATGTTTATAATTATACCTTAAGACTAACAAAAGTTCAACTCTGAAAGCACAGAGAGCAGCAGGCTTCATTAATCTTGTCACTGTCAAACAGATGTATTTCAGCTAATTCCCATGATACTTTTTAACTCTTTGAAGAACATAATTTCAGAATCTACCTTGATTACCTTTTCAAACAACTATAACTAAAATATATAAACACTTTTAACTTTATCATTCAAAAATAAAGCTTACCTGAGAACTTCTTTTCAGGGAAGTACCTAAAAATCAACAAGCTAAAGGATCTCTACATGCAAAAAAACATAGAGGATGGTTAGGATTTATTTTTTTCTCCTGACTTGTTCCATAGATGTCTACAAATAAGCATAATGTTTTGCAAAGTTGTAGTAATCATATGTCATTCATAGATGTCCAAGACATTTTGAAAGTTCACTTTACATTTTGAGAACTCTCTGTATGTGGACCTACGTTATTGAATGCTGCATTCGTTCAATAAGGTAGAATTAATAAAACTGTATTTCACAACTTCCCTTCCAAGACAGATGCTCGAGGTTCCTTCAGTGAGATGCAACCTCCTTGAACTTTGATTTGTAATTTATCTATGTGAACAAACAGGTTCAACATGGAAAATGTACTTGGCTGGGTTGGGTAGAATCAGAGACTCTTGTTTGCATGGCTGACAGCAGTGACAAATTCCTATTCAAACCAGTTCAGTGTGGTGTTTCTGGGGCTGGTAGTGGTAATGGGACAGCTTCTTGAATTAGGAATCTCAGCTGTGGCAGAGCCAAAGTTGTTCTGATGCCATTAGAGTCAGGAGACTCCTTTTCAGGCCAGTTCTGTGGTAAGAAATGCTTCTGGCAATGGAGTTTGAAGCTCAGTGATTCTGTGAGCATTTAATATGGCTTAATCAATTCTTTTCTGCTTAAAGTAGCTAAGGGTCCAGAAACTAAGGACCCTGAACAATACAAAGAAGTAAGGCATTCTAAAACGTAGTTGTAGATGTAACTGTATTGGAATTAATTTTTACCTTCTCCGATGCTCTGTAAGTGAATATGTTGAGATTAATTGGATTGAACATCAGCAGGGATACCAAGGTGACTCACGTTTTTCAGTGTGTCGTACCAGAAGAAACTTTCCTCTATCAGGAAGAAATATACTGTGTATTTTTCTTTCTTCTTCTATTGGACTGTTGCAATATCTCTTAATGCTTATTTTATCACAGGTATGGATAAAAAAGGACCATGATGAAGGAAAAAACATAGTATTATAGTGATATATGTTTAACATTGCTTTTAAGAGTTAAAAAATGAGATATCATAAACTGTTTGTTTAGGAATTATGAAGTTCTATGTCCTATTGCCTACTACATGCTTTATTCCCTGGGAGTTGGTGTGTTCTTCTATAAAATAAGGAAGATAACTCATTTTTCTATCTCATTGGAACACTGTGATAAAAATATCTTACAAAATATTTGGTGTTGCAATGAAATATGACTTATCCTTGTGTTCGAGCAATGTGTCCTCCATAAAACAAAAGTCTCTTTCTCAAAAACAAGTAAGTGTATGGTTCAAGAAGAAAACTGCAGGCCAATACCCCATATTGTGTTTTGAAAAGTAAATAACTTTTATAAAGCAGAGGAATATAATCTATTTCTAATGGAAAAAAATAAACATTATTTTGAGGTGCACTTGAAAGTAAGAACTGATTAGAGCAAAATCATTTAGTCTATGAGAAAAAATGCTGGAGAGTTTTTTGAATGCTTTTATTTGATTTCAATTTTGAAATCTTGAGCTAATATAAACATGCCAGCCAACAATCTTCCATTTATTTATTTATTTATTCTTTTTCCCTAAGGACTAAAATCTTCAGAATTATACATGGCTCTAGGTAATTTCTGTTTAGGGATACAATTCATCTCCAAGAAATGATAATTCCTCAGAATTAATTGAGGGTATATGTAAATCCAGCTTGGGAAGGTAGATCATGCCTATAAAACCAGTGCTTTGGGAAGCTGAGATGCATGGACTACCCAAGGTCAGGAGTTCAAGAACAGCCTGGAGAACATGGTGATACCCTAACTCTACTAAAAATACAAAAATTAGCCAGGTATGGTGATGTATACCTGTGGTCCAAGCTACTCAGGAGGCTGAGCAGGAGAATCACTTGAACCTGGGAGGCAGAGGTTGCAGTGGGCCAAGGTCACACTGCACTCTATCCTGGGTGACAGAGTGAGTGAGACTCAGTCTCAAAAAAAAAAAGTATACATAGATCTCAGAAATAGGTATTCTTACACACCAACGATAAGAAATCTGTTTTCTACTGATGGTCACTTATGAATAAATATAAAAAAGTAGTTATACTTAACAGAAAATTGAAAACCTGAGTTACACTTTCGTGTAAGTCTGGGATTCTGGGGCTGGTCAGGAAATGTGGGAATAGAGAAAAATATTAAACATTTGCTTTCTATGTTATTAAAAAATTTAAGAAGAAAGAGAAGAGAAAACTCTGTTACAATATCCAAATATTGAAGGTTTCTAATATATCATAAAAAATGAAAAACTCCAATAAAAAGCAGAATAAAATAGAGAAGAAAATGACAAGTAATAAGGATGAAAAAAGAAGGAAGAAAAGAAAGGAATAAGAGTAAAGAAAAGGGAACTGAGTGAGAGTGAAAAGAAATATGGTGATGGAGAATGGCTCAAATTTTCTGGGGCTCATCTGTCCTTCCACTGATTTTTATCCAGCCTATTTAGCAAACATTGATTGAGTGAGAACTCTAAATATTGAGTATACAAAGACTCAGTGAAAGTGAAGATGGGAAAATAATTACCTAAATAAGTGTTCAGAACAAATTATTTGGCTCCACAAAGGAAAAAATGATTATCATTTAGGGTGGAAGGGAATTGTCAAGGACAGTCTCACTATGGAGAAGACATGCAGACTAGGCATTGATAAAGAAGTTGGAATTCTACAGATTGAGAAATAGAATGGAGAAGGACTGACAAATGAAGAACGTGGCAGAAAGATAAATTAACAGAACAATAAACTATTTGACTCTTCTCACCTCTATCTAATCCCCCAGATTCTGTGTCTATGCTGCATTCTACTACATTTTGCCAAGTCAAATAGACATACCTAAGGAGACTACAAATTAAATCTTTGAAATTGAGCCTTTTTCAAAAAACTCTGAGTTGGTCCTCAAAATGTACTAATTCTCATCACTCCTTAGCCCCTAAGGACCTTGTTTTGATATTTAAATACATCATTTTTGGACAGGCCATGTAGGTATGCATGGATAGGAACTCTTTCAACAACCAATGCAGATTTAATTTTAGCAAATATTCATGGCACAGGTGAAATTAATCTGGGTTCTCATAAAAATATTTCTGTATAGTTGTATACCATAGTATCATTATGTATCCTTCATAAATATGTTATATATTATCAAATGCAACTCTATTTGGTTACTAAGATTACCCATGTTAATGTTCAGGCCATACACAGCATTGCCTATTCCCACTTGCCATTTCCTGTTTGTTCACACTAAGGTAAATATTCAATGGAAGAGCAGGTGAACAGATAGATAAACTCACATTACTTCTCATATCTTTAAAATTTTATTTCTTATCTGTCCTGTGCCTTGACTAATAACTAATTTCTTCAATTTTAGGAGATAGGCAAACATCTTCCCACATTCTCTATCATCTATCTCTCAGATCCTGTTCTGGATCTCTGTATTTTACTTTCCTCTTCAAACAGGTATTTATTGGATGTAGAGATGCTTATTGCACTAGGAAAAAATTTCAACCTTGTTTCTGTGGGGAAAATGTATAGCTGTCTCTCCCTTCAGATATACTATGAACAAGGAACAGCTGTCTGCCTGCAGAGGTTTTCATTTACCATCCAATGTAGTTCCTTTCCTATCTTTCATATATTCTACACTTCAACTCTGAGATTTCCTGGGGAATTGACACACTTAAACTGTATTTATTTAGGCATATAGGCATTTTATGTGTTCCTGATATGAAAAAGATTTTATTTATTAGAAATTAGAAATTTTTTCACTTTCTGTGTTTAAAGATTGCCTTTCTGACTTTCAGAAACCAGAAGGAGTTCAGTAAATGTTATTAACATACATACAAAATATCCTTCATTTTATGCAACTAGGTGGACACCGTGCATTAGAGAACACAAGTAAATGGACATCGATTAGCCATCAATGTGAGGAGAGAGAACAGCATGGGCTTCTGTTTGCCCTTTGATCAAGTTCTGTTTCTCACAGGATTCAGGATTTATATGGAGCTAAAAAGTCCACACAGTTGTTGAAAAGGCCTTCAGCACAAAAGAACAAAGTGGACACAGTTAGCTCCCTGTAAACCAAAGAAATCTCAATCAGGGCCGCAAATATTATTAATCATTACAGTTTTCGCATTCACTAACTCTGAAATAGAAGAGACGGCTGAGTCCCAGTTAAAATTCACACAGCAATGTTGAAGTCAGTGATAGGTTTTGGACAGTACCTCATCAAAGCAGCATCCACTCACTGAATTAAGTAATTTTTTCATTTAATAGTCTTGAAAAAGTTTCAATATTTTTCTGATATAATTTTAAGACAGGTGATTAATTGAAATAATTTATACATTTTTCCCAAGGTAGGCATAAAAAAGATAATGAGTGGTACAATCAGCTCCCTTTCATAATTTAGAATAAAATCTGTATACATGTGCTATGGATTGCATTAATCTGACTTTTAATTTTTTTGCTAATTACATAATGGGCTTTTTTTCTTTCGATTTTATTGAAATACAGATGTTTCAGATGGCTTTGATTTTACCTCTTGAACACAGCTGAGAAGAACTGGGAAGAGCGTAAGTTACAAAATTTCATTTGACTTCAAAGATTATCAGGAGGCTTAACAAGTTCTCCAAGTTGACGTGGAAGAAAATTTTAGATTAGTGCCCAGCACATTTCTCATCTTCAAGTAATTTGGTTATTATTATTTAGTTTTAATAACAATTGCCATGGCAAGTAGTATAAGAAGGTTATTATATGTTTTGGTAATGTAGCCAGCACTATGTTAAGTAAGGTAAGGGACTTGAGATGTACTCTACCTTTCTATTAATTCTCACAACATGTCTCCCTTAATAGTAACTATTTTACTGATGAGAAACATGAGGCTAAGTAACTTAGCACACTTGATGTGACCTGTATGTGACGGGCTAGGATTTGCACCTGGGTTTGCCTTATTTTAAATCTGATGTGTCTAATCACTTTGATATACTATATCAGAAAGCAGGGAACTCTAGATCTTTTGTCTTATGAGGGCTTAGTATGATTATACCTCTTTGTTATTTCTCCTAATAGCTTTCTACACATATTTACCATTGAAGTATATTAACTTAGGAGGTGTTAACACTGAAGAGCTCATCCAGACATTACTGGCTGGTAATTCACTTGGACTTTGACCATCTCACAAACTAGTTCTGACTCAGATCACATGAATCAAACATGCATGTACAGAACATGCAATACTGCAAAATCTTCTCTCGTTCTTTATCCATTTGCCCTTTCCTTCATTTTCCCCTTGAAATATTATGTGCAAAGTATTTTTCTATGCGGAGAGGAACTTATGTGTTGCAAAGTCCCCAACTGTCCTCAAGGAGCTGAGACTGTATCGCCAGAGATGGCCCATCAAGTAACTGTCATGCAAGCACTACAGAGAAATATTTTATTTAAAACCAAAACTTACCCTACCACTTTCTGCCTTCTGAGATGAGTAGCAGGATTTATGTCAGCAAAAACCCATATCTACCTGTTGCTTTGTTTCTCATCCAGAAGCTGATGGAAGAAAGAGCTACAGAAATGTATCTGCTAGTCATTCTTTGCTGATAAAAGAAAAAATGGGTCCTTTACTAGAGCAGTCATTCATGAGTCTTTGCCTCTGCAAAAGTGAACCCTGCACCCATTAGTTGATGAAGAACTAAATTCCTCAGCCTTAAAACATGGAAAGGAATTGAGTTTTCTAGCAGAGTCCGAGGGTGTTAAGGCCTGGGAAAACAGAGGTATGAGGAGAAGACTGCTAAGAAGTGGGGGTTATGCAATACGTACCCATGGAACTCCTTTATTGCCCTAAAGCATCAGTCAGTGTGCCTATAAAGTGCTCTGAATGCAATTGATATCCCTTTTTGGGAAGAGTAGACAAAAGAACAGAATCACAAAAAAGTAAGCAAATTGCTCACTGAAGTCAGCACTGAAAGGAAGGAAAGAGCGTGGGATGCATATGGAGCTAAAAGTTCACCTAAAACAGAAATTCGGCAGAAGTAGCCACGAGAGCTTAGGCCCTGGGAAAACACACAGGAGTGTCTGTGGTGGGATTATTAGAATACACACTGAATGTGGAATGAAAGACATATCAACTTTATTTACATTGTAGAGTACAAGCTGATCTTAAATGACAAATACATATTATAGATGGTATGTGCCAAAGGAGAGATATTAATAAGGTACTGTATCCAGGAGCACAAAAGTAAGTAATGTCCTTTAGACCATAGCTGAGACAGTTGTAAAGGTAGGTGTGGTCTATATCAGAATGAGATTCTAGAAGTCCTGGTGGACTCCTAGTCCCAGGAGCCAGCTTCACCAGGAGAAGCTAGAGAAGGAACAACTGCTAGGTGACAAGGTGACAGGCCCTTTATAGTTCTGCAAGAAGATCATTTGTACTTCACAGGAAGGTGGGCTGAAAATTTAAGCAACATTTTTAGAGTGTGGGACAAGGTAACTTGTATATGTTGGATTAAATGCTGATTATAAAATGCCTTTTTTTAAGAGGCATTTTGCTCATTCCCAGCAGTTGTGATGTACAAATTTTTAATTTTTATATCATGCAAATATGCAAATGAGGGCTCTTGCCTGACTGCATAAAGATAATTAATGGAGTCCAGGAACTTAAATAAGGGGAACAAATTGCATCTTCATTTTCACTAACGTCTACCTCAAATTTAGCCACTTCATTAATTTTGAATATAAAACCAAACTTGTTTAAAATTAAGCAATGCTTGTGACTTTGTCACCCAAAGAAGTATACATATCCTGATAGCTCATTAAAGTTATTGCAGTACGTTAAAATATCATTAGTGCTCATTGCTACTTTGAAAATATGGCATTATTAGATCTCTCACTAGATATGTCATTTAATATGTTAATGAACAAACATATATTTTTATTTCAATAATAGAATTTCAATATAACTAGCTTCTTTGTCACCCTCAAAATTATATTATATGCATTTAAAACCTCATCCTGAGAAGAGGTCCATGATCTTCACTAGAACACCAAAGGCGTCCAGTGCACAAAAGGTTGAACTCATGGACAAAAGCATTTAGTTTATTCAATTTTCTAATTTTTTTTTGAGATGGGGTGAATAACTCATTAGGAGAGTGAAGGCTGCATAACAATTCTCATTATCCATTTTCTCCTTGTAGGGAAAAAGAGAAAGTGTAGGAAGTGGGGAATGTTGAGTCTTGAGGTAGGAGCCTAGATTCATTAACCTGATGAAAATTGAGGGACCTGGAGCCAGGGCTTGTCTGCATGGGATCAGTGCTGCATCCCAGCAGTGAGTGAGGACAGGCACGCTCCAGCATCAGAAGGTACTAAGAGAATTGTGGAGAGAGTTCAGACCTAAACTAGCTCATGTTCCACATTAGGCCTAATTGTGCCTGATACTTTTTTATTTTCCTTTAATGTCGAAGTGTATGTGAATATTTGTTTTCACTATACAAATAGGCTGCAATAGTTGATTCTTGATAATCTAGATAAATATTTGAGTTATATAGTCTGAAGACCCAATGTATTGTGATTCATCTTAATTTGTTATTGATAAAGTTGATGCTTTCATTGAAATGCTTCTACTTTGATCACATTTATAAGGAAATTGAAAGCTTTCACAGTTTGAAATACTTTATATGTCTGTCAGGAATGTGAGTCTAGTAGAAAGATAGAGGTTTGACACATCTGATTGCATATTCATAAAGCATCAATACTGATCCATATTGTATTTTAGTAAAACTTTATAATTAAAATTATAATTGCATTTTTTAAACACATTTAGTTTCCCTGCTAGCAAAATTTGGGTCAGCATGTTTAAATTAGTAAAACTTACCACAAAATTATTATTTTTTAAGGTTAATCATACATTTTAATACATCATTACATGTGAACACACCCAGAATGCTAACAAACAATTTTATCATCACATATGTTGGAATAAATTTATTACCTCCTTAAGACCTGTCCAGGCAATATTATGATGATCCTTCTCCAAAAATGCCTGTTCTCCCAGGTAGTTGAGGTCATATTTTAAAAATGCTGTTCTCCCAATTCACTTATTTTTACTAGTAAAATCTGCTCATCTTGCAAGACTCGGTTTGTAGGTCACTTCCCTCAGCAAGACCTCCCTGATGACTGTGGTGCAAGAAATCTCTACTTCTACTGTTCACCGCCTCTAATTTTATCCTATTGTATGGTAATTAATATATATACTGACAAATCTCTTACTCTTTTTGAAATTCTTTTGAAGCCAGGAGAACACCCAATACATCTTTGACTCTTTTACAGTCTGTGCAATATAATCGACCTAAAAATATTATGTAAATGAATAAATTATAAGGTTATTTTAAGAATTAAATAATACATAAATGGTTATTAAATACATTTAATAGTATTTAATTTAAATGAATAAATCAAATCATGTGTCTGGAATAGACTGTATTTTTCAAAGAAAGCCTCCTTTTGCTCGGTTGGCTATTTCTGAGATGGTAGGCTCACAGATTCCGTTACAACTAGGTGGGTTCTTCCAACTCACTCCCAGGGATATTAGAAAACAACTGATGGACTGGGTTCAAAACACTCAGTTATAATGGACAGATTTTGTTAAATCATCAATCATCTTTTAAAAGATAGTTTTGAAATACATTCAGGACTTTGTTGTACAAGTTATTAACTTTAAGTAGAAAAAACTAATAATATTTTCTCTGTATACCTTAAATATGACAGGTATTTCCATTTTGTAGCCCTCCTATAGAGAAAGGCCTCTGCTATGATGTGTCTTCTTAATGTGTGTTAGTGTCTTTACAAACACTGAAAAATTCTTACTTCTGTAGCTTCAGAGCTCACGGCTGTTAGAAAGTAACCTACTACTCAAAACTCAAGCTGAAAAGCTGTCTCGAAATGTCAGAAATAGAGCAGTGAACCAGGCGTTATATTCCATCAGACATTTTGTAGGTATTAGGGCAGTGAACAGAAATTTACCCTTTCCCTGAGTGCTGAGACTTTTGTCATATCTGTCTCTGCCATGGGTTCTGAGGAGAAAGTGTCAGTTACATGACCATGTTCCTTTCCTGAGGCTTTACTTCATGTTCAGTGTTTGAAATGTAAATTACAAGCCCTCTACATCTATATCTAGATATATTTATCTTACTGGAAAAAAACAATCTTGAGAAATTTTTGCATCAAATTAAAAAGACAGTAAGCATACACAGCTGTATAAAAAAATTTAATAAAAATTTTAAATTCAAAAAGAACCGAGTTGTGCTGTACTTCCTAAGAAGGAAAATGATCTTTGTCAAGTCTCTGTTTTTTTTTTTTGTTGTTGAAGCAAACAGATACCAAGCTCACAAAGTTAGGTGTCAAATAACATAATATGCTTAGAAACACATTATGAATTGCATTTGTTTTACAAAGGTATTTTTTTTCCACATCCTCATTATTCATGTGTGTAGGTGATGTGGTAAGATTTATGTTGACATATTGAGGACATAGGATAAGTCTTACACTTCAGATAATCTTTACTTTTTGATTGAAATTTTGACTTTGTATTAAAATATCAAAATCAATAGTAATAAAACAAAACTACCAACTGTAAATGTAGTAGCCAGATGGCCAGAAGGAATTATTGAATGGAGTAGTTGAGCTAATTGCTCTTTAAGTTTTTCTCCAACTCTAGTTTCTATTATTCTTGCCAAGAATTGGTTAAGAGTTTGGAGAAAAAGACAAAGTTTTGCTCTTAAAAATGTTGTAATCCTTTAATTTCTTTAAAAACTTATAACTAAAATAAGACATGCTAGTATTTACAGCTGAAATAAAATATGTTTAAGGAATTCCTATCACTTATATACCTAATAAAAACAATTATCCTGTAAAGCGTATCAAGATGCTAGATAGTTTTAGAAATAGTAATTTTATAGGATATCAAATCTGGAATCTGATAGGAATTAGAAATCAAACCTGATAGAATATGGGCAGTTGTTTAGTAGCTGAAGAGTTTGGTAATAGCGTGGACTGTTTGAGTTTTAGCCCCAACTTTGCCAGATACTAGCTGTGTGACCTTGGGCAAGTTACTCTAAGTCATAGTTTCCTTTATTATTAAAAAGGGCATAATAGTAATAAGTATTAAGAAGATATGTGATATATTGTAGTGATTTTGTATGTTTTTGATATCAGGGTAATACTGGATACATAAAATAAATTGAGAAGCATTCCTTCCTTCTCTATTTTCTGAGAGTTTGTTAGTTGTTATAACTTTCTGAGATTTTTTGGTAGAATTAATAATGAGACCATCTAGGCATTGTTTTCTTTTGAGAAGAAGCTGGATTATAAGTCAATTTTTCAATGATGTAGGGCAATTCAGATATTATATTTTTTTGTATCAGTTTTGGAAATTTGTGTCTTTGAAATGATTTATTGGTTTTAACTAAATTATTATTCAATTTTATTGGTACAAAGTTGTTGGTGACATATTCTTTTATCATTGTAATATTTTTAGTTTCTATATCCCAGTTGCTTTGCTTCACTTGTTTCATTGCTGTGATATGAACACATAGCATAAAATCTACTTTCTTAGCAAATTTTCAAGTGTATAATACATTATTGTTAACTATAGATACAATGTTGTATAGTAGATCTATAGAGGTTATTCAATTTGCTTGACTAAAATATTAATTTCTGTTCTAATCTTTATATTTTCTTCCTCCTAACTTTGAGCTTAGTTTATTTTCTTCTAGTTCTGTAAGGTTTAGAATTGGGCTATATATTTGAGATCTTTTTTTTTTTAATTGTTCTTTAAGTTTTGGGGTACATGGGCAGATCTTGCAGGATTGTTGCAAAGGTACACACATGCCATGGTGGTTTGCTGCCTCCTTCCCCGCATCACCTACATCAGAGATTTCTCCCAATGTTAACCCTCCCCAACCTCCCCAATACCTGCTGTCCCTCCCCAAGTCCCCCACCCCACAACACACCCCAGTGCATGATGTTCCCCTCCCTGTGTCCACCTGTTTTTATTGTTCAACACCCACCTATGAGTGAGAACATGCAGTGTTTGGTTTTCTGTTACTGTGTCAGTTTGCTGAGAATGATGGTTTCCAGATTCATCCATGTCCCTACAGAGGACAGGAACTCATCCTTTTTTATGGCTGCAAAGTATTCCATGGTGTATATGTGCCATTTTCTTTTTGTCCAGTCTATCACTGATGGGCATTTGGGTTGGTACCAGGTCTTTGCTATTGTAAGCAGTGCCACAATAAACATACGAGTGCATGTGTCTTTATAATAGAATGATTTATAGTCCTTCGGGTGTATATCCACTAATGGGATTGCTATTCCAAATGGTATTTCTATTTCTAGATCCTCGAGGAATTGCCACACTGTCTTCCACAATGGTCGAACTAACAGTGTAAAAGTGTTCCTATTTCTCCACATCCTCTCCAGCATCTCTTGTCTCCAGATTTTTTAATGATTGCCATTCTAACTGGAGTGAGGTGGTATCTCAATGTGATTTTGTTTTGCATTTCTCTAATGACCAGTGATGACAAGCATTTTTTGTATGTTTGTTGGTTTCATGTATGTGTTCTTTTGAAAAGTGTCTGTTCATATCTTTTGCCCACTTTTTGATGGGGCTGTTTATTTTTTTCTTGTAATTTTGTTTAAGTTCTTTGTAGATTCTGGTTATTAGCCTTTTGTCAGATGGGTAGATCACAAAAATTTTTTCCCATTCTGTTGGTTGCCCATTCACTCTAATGATCATATCTTTTGCTGTGCAGAAACTCTTAAGCTTAATTAGATCCAATTTGTCTATTTTGGCTTCTGTTGCCATTGCTTTTGGTGTTTTAGTCAGGAAGTCCTTGCCCATGCCTATGTCCTGAATGGTATTGCCTAGGTTTTCTTCTAAGGTTATTATGGTGTCAGGTATTATGTTTAAATCTTTAATACATCTGGAGTTAATTTTAGTGTGACATCTAAGGAGGAGGTCCAGTTTCAGCTTTCTGCACATGGCTAGCCAGTTTTCCCAACACCATTTATTAAACAGCGTATCCTTTCCCCATTGCTTGTTTTTGTCAGGTGTGTCAAAGATCAGATGGTTGTAGATGTGTGGCATTACTTCTGAGACCTCTGTTCTGTTCCATTGGTCTATATCTCTGTATTGGTACCAATACCATGCTATTTTATTTACTGTAGCCTTGTAGTATAGTTTGAAGTCAGGTAGCATGATGCCTCCAGCTTTGTTCTTTTTGCTTAGGATTGTCTTTGCTATGCAAGCTCCTTTTTGGTTCCATATGATGTTTAAGGTGATTCTTTCTAGGTCTGTGAAGAAGGTCATTGGTAGTTTGATGGGGATAGCATTGGATCTATAAATTACTTTGGGCAGTATGGCCATTTTCACGATATTGATTCTTGCTAACCATGAATATGGAATGTTTTTCCATCTGTTTGTGTCGTCTCTTATTTCATTGAGCAGTGGTTTGTAGTTCTCCTTGAAGAGGCCCTTCACATCCTTTGTTAGTTATATTCCTAGGTGTTTTATTTTCTTTTAGTTATATTCCTAGGTGTTTTATTTTCC